ATTCTAGGTTAGGAAAAACTCCGTATGAAGCACTGACAGGTAAGCAACCTAATCTTAGCAATATGCATGTCTTTGGCTCAACATGCTATGCCTTTGTTCAAAATGTTAAGAAATTAGACGACCGGCGCCGTAAAGGTGTTTTTGTAGGTTATGATAAAGACAGTCCAGCATACTTGGTATACCACCCAGAAAAAAAACAAAGTGGAAAAGGTAAGATGCGTGAAATTTTTTGATAATTTTGAAACTGAGCCTGAGGCGTCTAATGACAACCAAGAGTTAATTGTGCCAAATAAAGAACACGTTGAGACTACGGTAAATGCTAACGAGCTGCCTCAGCAAATGGATGAAAATGCTGGTACAGCAGAGGTAGAGAACAACACGGCGAGATATCCAACACGCACTCGCAACAAACCAAGGTATCTTGATCAGCCTATTATTGACGACAATGTTAACCGCACTGTTGATTATTGCTTTAGGGCTGTAGACATTCCAAAATGTTACAAGCAAGCAATAAAATCACTGGAGGCTAACAAGTGGCAAAATGCCATGAATGCAGAGGTAAGCGCATTAAACGATAACAATACGTTTATCGACAGATAGTGGGGGGAAGATGGGTTTACGCTGTAAAAATCGGCCAAAATGGGGAAGAAACCCATAAAGCAAGATATGTAGCTAAAGGGTATTCTCAAATTCCTGAGATTGATTATCAGGAAACGTTTGCCCTGACAGCTCGCATGAGCTCAATTCGTACATTGCTACAACGTGTTGTGCAGAATGACATGATCATTCACCAAATGGATGTCAAGACCGCCTACCTTAATGCGCCTATAGATTGTGAGCTCTATATGGAACAACCAGAAGGTTTTGAGGAACATGGTGAGAATGGTGAAAAATTAGTATGTAAATTAAAGAAGTCATTATATGGTTTAAAGCAAAGTGGGAGAAACTGGAATAATTTATTACACGAGTATCTGCAAAAGGAGGGTTTTACTCAGTCACAGGCTGATCCATGTGTGTATGTGAGAATGATTGACTCGAAGCGATGTGTTATAGTAATTGTATGGGTTGACAATATCATTATCGCAGCCAGTCATTTTGAATTACTAACAACTGTAAAAGAATCTTTAGGTGAAAGGTTCAAAATGAAAGACCTAGGTAAGCTATCGTGGTTTTTAGGTACAGAGTTTAAATGCAAGGAATCTTGCATCGAAATGAATCAGAAACAATATATTGAAAAAGTATTGTTGAAGTTTGGGATGGCTGATTGCAAGCCCAAGCCTACTCCATGTGTTTTAGGTATCGAGAAGGTCTCAGACGAAGAATCACCAAGCTTAGAAGACCCAGGTGAGTATAGGGCTATTGTTGGGAGCTTAATATACGTTATGAGAGGCACCAGGCCTGATTTGTGCTATATAGTGACGAAGCTCTCACAGAAAATGTCTAAGCCCACAAGAGCCAATCTCGACTTGGCTAAACACGTTTTAAGGTATTTGAGGGGTACATCTGAGCAAGGTTTGACATTTAGGAAGTCAAACGTTCCGCTAAGGTTGAACGGATTTTGTGACTCCGACTGGGGTGCATCAGTTGCCGACAGGCGGAGTATAACTGGCTATAATTTTCAGTTGTCTTCAACAGGTCCTTTAATATCCTGGAAGAGCCGTAAACAACCAACAGTTGCACTCTCTACATGCGAGGCAGAATATATTGCGCTTGCAAATGCCATACAGGAGGCAAAATTTTTGAGACAATTATGTATCGACATGAAGGTAAGTATAAGTGATGATAATGTACTTATTCAAGTAGATAATCAGGGAGCTATAAACTTAGGTAGAAATCCCGTACACCATCAAAGGTCGAAACATATAGATATTAAGTATCATTTTATAAGATCCGAGATACAGGTAGGTACCATAAGTTTGAAATATGTTCCTACTGAGGACAATATAGCTGACGTCTTCACAAAGCCAGCTAGCAAAGGTAAGTTAGAAAAATTTAAGCACTTCATGTTAGGTTTATAAATGCGCTGCGTAATACAAATATATTAGAAATTAAAAAATTATTGATGTAATTTATATAGATGCTCAGAACATAAGAGCAAGTGGGGGTGTTAGAATATGCTCCTGATATTCTGTTGACAATGATAATAAGATTATTAGTTAATGAATGACATTGATTACTATAGATATGTATGAAATGTAATCTCTGCATGGATACCACAAATTCCAGTACAAATAGTTGCTCCATGTACCAAACTGTATACCATTTATGGTAATAGAATGTGATATGTCAAAATACTTATTATAGATATAATCTTGTATATATATGTGTGATTTTTATTATTAAATACATTCTTTTGTAAAACTCCAAAGTTGTATGTTGTGCTTCGTATTCGAGAAAGAGCGATGGCAACGGTACAAAACCCAACACAAACATATCCAAAAAAGATTCAAAAAAAATTTCCAGACAAATACAAGTAAAATTGATTAGGTTCAAAGACATTTTCCATATTTTCTGACCAATACCAGGAAATTTAAAGTCTAAAAGATTTCTCTCATATCATTACTTACAGTATATAAAAAATGCTCCAGATAATTTTTTAAAATTACACCTTTTAGACCCCCCCCCCTCCCCCCCCCTTTTATCTGGGGTCCCGGGCAAATTGAAACCTCCCCCTCTCAGACATTCCAATTACTGGAGGTAAAATTTAGGGAGACTGTTCAGTGAATTGAAATCTAGGGAAAAAATAAAAAATAACAAAAATCAGGAGACCAGGAGACTGCATGAATTTTCAGGAGAGTCCCGGTAAAATCGGGAGAGTTGGAATGTGTGCCCTCTAAGTGGCCCTGATGGTGTGATTTGAAACTTGTGTACTACACCTCTAAAATTGTGCCTAGTAACAGGCGAAATAACCTCAAAAGCACAGTATACGTTGCGTACGTGTCGTTCGAGCTGAACGGTCAATGATTTTGAAGCTCCGCCATAAAACTTTGAAAAATATTTTTATGAATTAAGTTATGGCAACTAAAGCACTTAAGAATGAAAACCAATTGCTACGATCAGAGATTCAAGACTTAAAGAGTCAATTAAATAAAGTCAGTCAAGATTTAAACACACAAATGAGTATTGCAAAGACGGCCATTGAAAAGACACAAGATAACGCCAATCCAAATCACTTCGAAGGCGAAGAACAATCTAAAGCCATAGAATTTTTGAGTAAACAGTACGACGATCTACATGCTTTTCGCAAACAAGCCAGCCAAGACCTTAATCGCATCGACAAAAATCTAGATAAGGTCAGCAGAAGGTGTGATGAAATCGCCGAAGCAATTGAAGCGAGCGAAGAATACAGCTACCAGTATAATATAAAAATAACTAATGTACCTCAAATCAGTGAAAGGGAATCGGCAGAAGCTACAGCTAAACTTTGTGTTAAGCTATTTTCAGCTATGGGCGTGGAAGATGTCTCTCTTCAAGACATAGATATTGCACACCGCGTTCCTCATCGCAGGGCTTCACAGTATCCCAATGCAATAATATGCAAGTTTGTTCGACGACTTGCAAAAAGAAAAGTCATGGCTGCTCGTAAAGAATCGTCTAGTGTAACATCCGAACAGCTTGGTATCGGAACGATCAGCAATCCTGACTTTCGAGTGAATATATATGACCATCTAACGCCCCGCCTACAATCACTTCTTTACGAAACTAAAAAATATCAAAAGACGATGGGATACAAGTTCTGTTGGGTCAAAAACAGTTATATTTGCTTACGAAAAGCTGAAAATTCACGAATGACCAAAATGAAATCACTACAAGATCTTACCAATTTAATACAACAGGACTCAACTGGCAATGACTCAATGATGAATGATTAAAGCTAAGTATCAGACGTTTTTTTCATTGACTATATCATATGTTTGTTTAATTGATGTCGAGTAAACACAAAGTCAATGTACATAAGTCAAATTTTCGTGAACTACCTTTCTACGGTATATATAATGATTTCTTTCTGACTAGCAGACCTTCAACTGAAAGACAGTTAAATAAGCTTACAAGTATTTATGATCTTGACGTATTTAATCTAAATATACGATCAAATTCTAATATTAACCCGGATCAAAATGTGATGAACAACCATATTCATTGCAAATATTATTCTCCTGAGAATTTTACTAAAATCAAAAAGGGTAATCATCGTTTATCAAATAATCATTTATCTTTATTTCATAATAATGTAAGTAGTTTAAGAAAGAACTTAGAACATTTACAAGTTCAAATATTAGACGAATTGAAATTTCCTTTTAGTGTTATTGGCATCACAGAGACACGCATTAAAGATACCAACTTAGATGGTTTTAATTACAGCATCCCTGACTACTCATTTGAATTTGTTCCAACCCCTTTAGCTGCTGGAGGGGTTGGAATGTATATTAATAATGAATTTAGTTATACTGTTGTTGAAAAATCTGCTAATACAGCTTATCAAGCGCTTTGGATTGAAATTATCATTCCTAACAAAAAAAATATTATATGCTGTGTCGTATATAGACAACACAATTCACCTGAGACATTCCAAGCGTATTTTGAACAAAAAGTAGAGCAATACACATCAACAGACAAATATGTGTTTATCATGGGTGATTTCAACATAGACCTATTAAAACTTGATAGGTGTAATTATGCACATAATTTTTTATTATATTTACAAAGCTGTTCAATGATCCCTAGCATCGATAAACCCTCGCGCGTCCATGGGGAATCAGCCACGTTAATTGACAACATATTTATTAATAACCCTTCCAATGTGTTAGTTAGTGGGAACATAATATCTGATGTAAGCGATCATTTTTCACAATTTTGTATCCTAGATTCTATTACCGTCAGACAAAACATCCAAAAACGTAAATATCGTGACTATTCATCATTCTCCGATACTTTATTTAACCAAGAACTTTCAGAGATAAATTGGGATTTTGTCGTAATGGAACCAGAGAATAATCCTAACAAGTTATTTTCGACTTTTTTTAATAAAGTAAATAAACTAATAAATAAACATGCTCCTATCAAGACCATTTCTAGGCGTAAAGCAAAACAATTATCCAAGCCATGGGTAACTAGAGGAATAAGGGCATCTATTAAAGTTAAAAATAAGTTATTTCACACAAATAATGTAACTCAGTATAAAATATATAGAAACTATATTGTTACTTTACTCCGAGCCAGCAAAAAATTGTACTATGAAAAATATTTCAACTTGAATCACACAAATATGAGTAAGAAATGGGAAGGAATAAGGGAAATTTTGGGACGTAGCCGTAATAATAAAAATAATATTGGTGCCATGCGACAGGATCCTACTTCTCGATTAACATTTGATCCTAAAAATATATCCAACATCTTGAATAAACATTTTGCTACATGTGGACAAAGATTAGCTGCTAAAATGCCACATTCTGAAAAACATTATTCTGATTACCTTCAACATACAAATAGCCTTAACTACACATCTCAACTAGATTCATTTGTTTTCATTCCGATAACTGAAAGAGATATTGAACTTGAAATTATCACACTACCAACCAAAAAAGCTGAGGGTTTATACTCATGCCCTTCGAGGATTATTAAATGTGCAAAACACATTCTGAGCAAACCTTTGGCAGATATTTTTAATCGGTCGATTGAAACTGGAATTTATCCTAATAAACTCAAAATTGCAAAAATAATTCCAATTTACAAAGCGGAGGATGAAACTGAACCGAATAATTACCGACCCATATCCCTTTTATCGGTATTTAATAAAATTTTTGAAAAAATCATGTATAAACGTTTAGACAAATACCTAAATATGAAAAATATCTTGTGTCCCTCACAATATGGTTTCCGTCAACAACATTCTACACAACATGCCATTCTCGACATTGTTAACAAAATCCAAACTAACATGGATAATAAACTTTATTCCTGCGGTATATTTATAGACTTGAAGAAAGCCTTTGATACGGTTGACCACGATATACTGTTGGGTAAATTAAATCATTACGGTATTAGGGGAGTGGTAAATGACTGGTTCTCTTCCTACTTAAAAAACCGCTCTCAAACAACTGTGATTAGAAACTGTGTATCTGATAGAGAAACCACTTTGTGTGGAGTACCTCAAGGATCAGTCCTTGGGCCTCTACTTTTTTTAATATACATAAACGATATTTCGGAGTCATCAAACGTTTTTAATCTTTTTCTTTTTGCGGATGATACCAACCTATTATATGCTAATAAAAACTTGAAAACACTTGAATCTGTTGTAAATTCTGAATTGAATAATGTTTGCAAATGGCTTAATGCCAACAAACTGACGCTTAATATAAAAAAGTCAAATTTTGTTATTTTTCGCCCACACCAGAAATCAGTAAATTATCATCCAGTAATTAGCATGTATGATAATAATTCTAAGAAATACACACCACTCGAATGCAAAGAATATATTAAGTATCTTGGTATCATTATTGATTGCCACTTAAGTTGGAAGCATCACATTGACTATATTGCATTAAAGATTAGTAAAAATGTTGGGATTATCTCAAAATTGCGATATTTTATTCCAAATCATACTGTACTAGATATATATAAGTCCTTAATTTTACCTTACCTTTCGTATGGACTGTCTGCATGGGGAAATGCTGCCAAGTTTCACATTAAGAAACTTCTTATATTACAAAAACGCGTTTTACGTCTGATGTATTTTAAATCATTTGATAATCATGCAATTCCCTTGTTTGTTTCTTCAAATTCTCTTCCTATTAATATGATGTATATCAAAGAATCTGCCAACATGTTATACGATATATCAACCGGAGATACGCCAACAACTCTACAAGAACTTTTCAAAAAAACATCTGAGGTTCATAATTATAATACAAGAGCGGCGAAGAAAGATAATTTTTATATAAAATATTCTCGCCTAGAGCTTCAGAAATGTTCGTTTTCTCGACTTGGTGCGAAAATTTGGAATAGTATTGACCAGGGCCTTCGCTCAAAAAGTAAAAATATATTTAAACACAAAATGTGCCAGGCCCTCTTTACAATTCTTACAACTGAGAATCACTATGTTGATGTGCCCATGATAATAGCAAGATTGCCAATTGTAACTATGATGGTTTAAATTACCCTAAATCTTTTGAGATAGAATACTAGATAAGGATGTTTCAGCTGCTTGCCTTTTCTCTGTAATGCTAGATCTGTAATACTGTATTTAAAATTACAATATTTTTCATAATCAATTAACTTTATATACTTTCCTTCACTTATTTGTAAAAATATTTTTCTAAACTTACTTAAACTACCTACATTTAAATTCATTGCCTGCCACGACTAGCTTGGCTACTTGCAGGTAATGCAACATATGATCTTTTTTGTACATTTTTTGTAAACATTAAAACATGTGCCCAGTATACTGGTGCTCAAACACCACATGAATGACAATTCATGACCCACTTGTACTATATGTTTGGACAGTTTTCTCTGCAAGCACTTTAAGTCGCTGTTCAGCTTCGAGTCGTTTTTGCATATTTTTACTCCTACCAATTGCTTTCAGGTGATCAAATGTCATAGGTTCAAACACAATATCATGAATCGATCTCACCCGTGATGTAGCTACAAATGTGCATCCAGCAACTTTTTCTCCTTTACCTAAATCAACAACAGCTTTTGTTAGTGTCTGTCCTTGTGACTTATGAATAGTCATTGCATACCTCAACCGCAAGGGCACTTGTTGCCTTGACAGATACTTTCCATCAGCCACCCATTCAAACACTTTCGGTGGCACAGGTATACATTTAGAACATGCATCTAGGAATGCACGACCAGAGTAACTATGGAAGTGTACCAATACTGCTATTGGCAGGTTTGGTGGACCCATATTCTCTGCAAACCAAATCTGCTCGATAGTGCCAAATGAGCCATTGCAGAGACCAACTTCAGCCCACAGGTTGCAAGTGAGCATCACTTCTGCTTTTGTGGATAAAAACAGAGCAGCGTCCAATCCACCAGCTTCGTCCGATGTGGCCGCACTGGCACCATGACCAGAGTTCTTTGCCTGAATTTTAGCGACAGGTTGTCCAAGCTGCAATAGCTTCCCGTAATTGTATTCAGCAACACTTTTCTTGTCAAAGTACAATCGGATGGCATCAGTGAACTGATCCATTGGTACACTTGTTGTTGAATGCTCCAACAATAGTTTCCAGTCCTCCTCTATTTCGCATTCTCATCAGCAAGGCTCTAAAAGCAACTGCCTCGGGGTCCTCACCAGCCTGACGCATAACTTGATCTAAAATAATGACAGACTCAAACATCAGATACAGACTATGTCCATGGTCACTTACTACTGTTCCATTACCTGAAACATACATTGGCTTATCACCAACAGGTGGTAATTGACCAAATACCACCAAAAGGGATATCTTGCTTTCCAGTACCAGCACGTAATCTATTGTCCAGCCATGATAGCATTTTATGTCCAACCATTGACATTTCATCAATAATCAAAAATCTTTTACCTTCTAACCTCAGCTGTAACCGCTGTAGCGAGTCACCCTGCAAATCCCTATATACACAGATAGGAAGTTGAGCAGCAGAATGTAATGTTAGACCATTAATACTAAAGGCTGCAATCCCAGTAGTTGCGGTCACAACACACTGAGCAGCTAATACTTGTTTCGTTGCACTTATTAAGTATGTCTTACCTGTGGCAGCTGTTCCACACACAATCATATAAACAGGCTTGGCATTATCACCATTCTGAGATGTGATGATGTCATAAGCAAGGCGTTGTTTTTCATTCAGGGTCTCCGGATCAATTACACATTGTTGATCATCTTCTCGAAAATGCTGACCATGTTCTTCAGCCTCCTTTCTCTGACTATAGATCCATCCTGGAGATTCCCTTAACAAATCTCTAGGCACAGCTCTTACCGTTTCAAACCAGTCCACTGCTTCATTGTCTGACAGCCGATTCCCTGCTTCCCCATAATCTTGGTTAATTCTGCATAACAACATCCAATCATGAACTTTCTCCTTGTCATAAGGGTCAACTTCACTTTCGTCGTCATCATCTTGATTGTCACTTGGATCGTTTTCAAAGGTTTGACCACATTGTGCATCATGAACTCTGTCTGTTTCATCGGAATACCTAAACACATTTTCTTCCGCAAATTCATCTGTCATAAGAAAAAATTCATATGCATTAATAAACATTTGATCCCTTTCATCCTCGTTGTTCCAAGCATTTGACGGTTGACCCTCTCATGGTTTAAACTTTATTAGTTGATATTTGCAGTATTTTCCAAAATCAGGACCAGCAGGATTAGCGGAAACCTTTGGAAATGTCCTGACAATGTACGGATTCGCTCATTTTGTCAACTCACCTCTGACTTTTGTGTACTGTGACACATATTGCATCAGATTTAGCTCAGACAAGCCTGTATACCTACTCTTCAATTTTGTACGTTCTGCATATTCTTGTAGCGCAGATTTTTGAAGTACCTCATTGCCTTCGTTTTCTGCATCAATATTAACCTTCCTGCTGTTATCTAAAGAAATAGCAACAAAACTAAATGTGCAGCCAACCAATGGTAGACTAAGTAACATATGCGCAGTTTCTTGTGCTGCCATATCTCTATCCCCAGCAACTTAGATCATTGCTTTCTTGAAGGCCGAAGAGACTTGATCATCATTCTGTAATGAGGACACAGACAATTTTGATCGGGGTTCTCCTTTCGCAGCATACTTGGCCATGTATCTTGCACAAGCCTTCTCATCTACAATGACTTGCAAATCTAGATTTGCCCGCCAGTTTTCGAGCATCACCCTGTTATGCGAATTTAATCTTTGATCATTTCGTTTGGTATGTAACTCAGACTCAACAGACGTAGTATTTTTACTTACCACCAGCTCAAGACTCAGTTCTGTTTCTTCTTGTAATGACTTTGGAAAACCAAATCTGCATTCTGCAAGCAGGTCCACTGTTTTCTGTTTCAAGCAATACGCTGGACTGCATCTAGTGTGACCTGTGATAATCATTGTCACGATTATCCACTGTCGTAGCGCTGACAGCAGATGGGTGAGGGTCTGGTATCCTCCAGTTTTCATCTGGCAATTCCTCATTAAAAGTTGTCACCAGCCAGTCAACATACCTTTAAGTTAATCATAACTTATTATTAAACATATGCTCTCGTTCTTTTAGTCACAAATATTACCAAATTATAGTTATAAAACAGTTTTAATCGAACAACTGACCGAGTGAAATAAATTTGCCACTTTCTATTTATTAATTCCTTACATTCCAATGAAATCTTTAGAAATTATTGAAAATTCCTTTGAGGAAAATGAAACCTTTTTAGGAATTTATAAGGAATTTTTGTTTACATGTAAAAGACTGTTACTTTTCAATTTTAACTGTAGCGAAGATATACTTTTATAATATAATATGCTTAATAATAAAAACATGGGCCAAAGACCTCTGGATATTTGGTGAGTGTTTTGTGTATTAAGGCCGATTTACACTACATAACTTTTGCTTAAAAATTGCGCATGCCACCTGCTTGAACAACTTGAGTTGTACTGTGTATATCAAGCACACAAGACACAAGTCGACACTGTAACTTGCTTACATTGTCATAGGTGAGTTGTGTGCTTGATTTACACAGTACACTCAAGTTGTAAGCAGGTTGCCTGAGACAGTTTTAGGCAAAAGTTGTGTAGTTTATACCCGGCCTTTATTAGCTTTATATAGTTGAGTATTATTTAGTCATATTATTAAATACGCACCAGTGGTTATATACTGGTTACAAAATATCGAATTCGCTTTTTAGTTGGCATGAACATTTGGGAGCATGCCTTGTACAGTTTTCATGGTATTTTGAAATGCAATATATTAAGTGGGAGGTAAGAGATTCTTATAACTGTAAAATAATTCAATGTTATGAGAAGCAGATCTGGTATTGTGTAACTTACAATTCGGCATTCTATATCACCATAAATTTGTCACAATTTATCAAATTAACTGTCCTGCATTTGAAGGCTTGTTGCAGGATCTTTAACTCATTCTCATCCGGTCGAAAAGTAGTAATTTTGAGTGGTGTTGTTTTAAACGCATATATCTTTCAAACTATACATCGTACAGAAACAGAAATTGCATCGTTCAAAAGAGGAGGACTTCCGCGTTCCAACGATACCAATTTCAATTTCATCCCGAGGTTGGTTAACGATTTACTCTCATAAATTTGCATAAATTATGATATAAAAAATGTTGCAATTATGCAAAAATGTATTTACCGGTTCAAATTTCAAGTGTCAAAAAATTTTATGAATGTAACTGAAAGACACGGTTTTGACCTACATGTACCCGACGTTTCATGCATGTAGCATAAATAGAAGTATTTCTATTGAATTTTTGAATAAACTATGTAGTGGAGTAAAATTTACATTTTGTGCTCACATGAAACAAATACTCTTATCAAATGTCCTTTTTCATTGCTGCAACATATTATCAATACAAATTTCCAATATTTCTTACTCTCCAAGGATAGTATGCACCAAAATAAGTCTGTGATACCCACAAAAGAACACTCAAATCACTATTTGCAAAATGTCTTTATTTCTACGGTTACTATATACATTCTTAGATAATCAGTATACCATTGACTTAGTCATCAGTGGCATAACCAGCCTGAAAATTTGGTTATGCTATTCAAATTTTAAATAATCATTACTCATTTCTTTAGAAATTGATTGTTTTCACAATCTAGAACATGAAAATATTTGCCTATAGCATGACCAAGTGTTGTTTGGCTGGCGTCATCATTAGTAGTTATAAAAAAGTAATGTTTTCCAAGGCAGTAATGTTTGCCAAGACACATAATTGGATTATGTGGTGAAAATAGTTCATTTTTTTGCACAAAATATATATTGGACCACAAAGGACCTAAGACTGTAACCAAACTTATATCACATCACCACGTCATACCCAAATCCATGCTGCTATATGAATCTCTGGACTTCTTCCTATAAAAATCTCAAGTCGCAATATAACCATTAGGACTGTCTGCAGCAACCCACAGATTTATACCCCCACATAGTAGGCCATCTTTCATGAACTGCTGAATCCCCAACCTATTCCTTGATTTGACAGTGTGTTCGTCAACAGTAATATTCTGTGATGGCTGCATGGTACAGTTGTTGATGCAGTTTATTGCTGTAGTCTTCAGTGACAGGATCTACCATATTCAGAAATGCCATAAGCGCTTTGTACCTAAACCGAGAAATTATTTCTATTGCCCACAGACCATGATATAAGGTTTTACACTCCAATAGTTTTCAACCTCACTGTCCACCTTTACCAAACCTGCATATACTAAAAAGGCAATCAACCTCTCAATCTCCTCAAGGTTGGTGGACTCCAAGACCCTTCTTTATTAGTATATGGGGATGATTTTTGGGTTATTTGTATGTGGGCATATGTATTGGTATGGGAAACTACCTCCTGAAGCATTCCCTTAGTAAAAAGAGCCGAATGAACTCAAGCTCACAGTTCCTACTTTTGGTGAAAGCTTGATCGAAATGGATCCCGGACATGTCGGTGAGGGGCAAAACCTGGGAGAATATTCCTAGTGTCAGTGTCACCATGCATATCCATCATGTACTATGGGGCCTAGTCAGGGTGCTAGACAGCGAGCTTTCAAAACCTTGAGTCCTAGTGGCTGGGCTTCCCTCTACCTCTACTCATCCCCCTACCTTCCCTCCACACTTACACGTTTTCCTAATGGGGTTGGGGAGTGGGGTTCTCATGACTCATCAGAACTGCTACTTCCCTGAGGCTATGAAACAGGAACAGCAGCTAGGAACAGGATCAATACCTTCCTCACTGCAAATAAAAACATTTTTTATAGACGTCATTTACATGGCACCACTTAAAATTATAATAAGAGCCAAACTAGTAAGACATAAGTATGAATACTTGGTCTATTATGTACTGTATGTAACAAACAACCAAACATGTGCTCAAGGCTCATTTTACTTTGCCTAGGAATCAGAGTTTTTTGTGCCTAAAACACCATAAATATTCGTCAACATATAAATAAATACCATTTATATTTGTCAATTTCAGTATGGAAGGATTATTTCAACACAAAAAAGCGATATGAGGACATACTTGGTCGTACTAGTGAAGCTATACTAAATACAAATAAATTTACAACGCCATGGCAACGGCAAAACATTGAAATAGAAATTGTCTAGAAATGATACAAACACTTGCCTTGAAACTCCAGACACGACTCCCAATACCAGGTTGAGTCTTCATACGAAGACATTCCATCATTACTAGAACTATCAGTTTGCAAAATAAAGCCAAAAACGTCTTCAGAATGCGATTCAAACAAAACTACAACACAATACATTTCAACGCTCGTGCGTTCCCGTGCGCGATAATCAGGAAAATTGCTCTAAAAGATTTGTTTTTCTGCCTAAGCCAATCAAAATCCGTATCTAGGGTAAACAAACACTCCGGAAATGATTCCTGCAGTCTTTTACCAGGAAACTGTAATGCTTTACCAAGAATTTGGCGTCCGAAGTTGGCCGAACACTTTCCGATCACGAGAATTGCCATAATAGGCTTAGATTATTTCGCAATTTCCCGAGACTGCTCCGAGCTATAGAATGGAAGATGGCGATTCTTTTGGTATATTTGTTATTATTATACGTTGAAAAAAAGCAAAAAGACGAGCATTTGAATCAGGCGGAACATTCAAAATGCAACAGCAAAATTGATAATGTGTCATTTGCATAAATTTCACCGCATTGATCATTTCAAGGTAAGAAATTCGCTTGAAATTGAGCGAGAAACAATAAAATTATATGAATATTTCTGAATATATAGTATCGATGAAGCGGAATTTTTTGGTGGTATTTTCGTATGTCTACTGCAAATACTCGCGAAGTTCTTTAATGTTTAATCTTCCCGTCATATACGTCGGAAATTAATATTGGCGGATCGAATTGAGTTAAGGAGATTCATAGGATGTTAATTTTTCCTTGTAGTTACTTGTCAATTGATTTCTAAACTGACTTAGTAAATGTATACGTTTTAAGCTAGATGGTAATTTATTCCATAGTTCAATGGATCTTGGAAAATATGATTTCTGATAATAGTTTTGATTGTGAATTGATGGTGGATGGTAGTTGGTAATGTCAAATGCATGCATAGTTATTCTTTGGATCTCGACAGGTGTAAAAAATTGACTGAAGTCAACATCAAGTTGTAGTGATGGGTGATACCACCAGTATCGGATTCGATACGATACCGATTACTTTTTGGTTAAAGTATCGAGGTATCGATTACCCAAACAATTACTACGACGACGATTGTTTTCAGAATTTTCCGCAATTATAATCCATGAAAAAACAAAAATTAATTTATTTCCCGCCTTTTTCAAAATTTATTCTGTCGACGAGGTTATGAATATTAATCAGGGAAGTGGATAAAATGTCAAATAAAGTAAAGGAAGTTTGGTTAAGTTGATAATTATAATCCATGAAACAAAAATTAATTTATTTCCCGCCTTTTTCAAAATTTATTCTGTTGACCAGGTTAGGAATATTAAGCAGGGAAGTGGATAGAATGTCAAATAAAGTAAAGGAAGTTTGGTTAAGTTGATAAATGCAACAAAATACAAAAAAGTACATATATTTTATTAGAAATAGCCATGAAAACGATGACACAACCACAGAATTATAATAAATGTCTAATTTTAAAAGTAATCGATACTTTGCAGTATCAACTACTTCCGATTTGGGCCTGGTATCGGGTGGTATCGATACCAAGTAATCGGTAATCGCCCATCACTATCAAGTTGACCAATTCTATACTTGAATAAAAGAATCAGATCACTGATCTCTCTTCTAAAATCCAGGGGAAGCATGTCAAGAGATTCCAGTCCACTCTTGTAGGTAATATCATGGCTCAGGTAATTCAAGATAAATTTAATTGCATGCCTCTTAACATTTTCAATGAGGTGGCGATGTTTGACTGTGTAAGGAGACCAACTTTTGTAACTTTTTAAAGGTATAAAAAACCGTGGAAACTGTGAATTACTATAATAGATTGAAAATGATTATTAATTAAACTATGATTGAAATATGATTGAAATAAGCATGAAGGTACTAGTCAGCTAATATGACCTGTATGGTCGTTTGAGTTATTGAAATGAGTTAATTTACACTATATCGAATGTCATGCTGAATGTCATGTTGAATCTTATGCGTACTTCTCAATGGTTGCTATTTCGTTGTATTAAATTTCAATACTATTTATAATTCAAATTTTGTTTGATGTTTATATTTCATGTTATTTACAAAATGTGCTGTAGTTTTGAAGCTTTGCACAGAATATAATCAGTGCGAGCACAATGGCTCCATTTCAGTTTTGAGTATATAAAAATCCAGTGTTTTGATAGCACGGGCTTTGAGCCTTTCATGATATATAAATATAAAACCTGATAATTGATAAATAATTAGTGCCAGCACAACGGCTCCAAAATCACAACAAATAACAGAATATACAGGGTGTATCAATAAAAATGGAGTCCTCACATAAATTGTCAATTTCAAAGCGAATATGAAAGTTAGACATTTATACTTGCATTCTTTTGAAATCGCGTTCTTTCAGCTATTTTATATACTTTATTTTATAAAATTTGGAGTTATTGCTGGGGAACTGTGTAAATTTAAGTAAGTGCAATTGGAAAATTAAAAAATGTAGATGTGTTGAATTCATAATTTATTTAAACGTTCCAAAAAATAAGTTGGAAGTACACGTTTACTCAACGTGACCTCCATTTCTAAGTTCATACAAGTTCGTTCTTTGTCTCATATCCAAGACAAGTCTTCTTCCCGAGTTTCCTTTATTTCGATTTAAACTTTATGGGGTGGTTCTTCCATTCAATGCATATGCAGCCGGTATTTGTTGACATTACGCCAAACGCTCAATGAAGATTACGTCCTGGAAGAGCTATTTGAAATTGTCTTAACACTGCAACAACGCTTTTTGTTTTGAAATACTTTTCAACAATGAATGTTCTTTCCGGAATTGTTAGCTTTGGCATTATGAATGGTGATTGTAAAGTTTTAAACAACGTTCTAAATTTTAGCAAACTACCTTTAATTAAGCCTCCAAGGGACTTCGAAGATTAATATTTCGAAGCATCTAAAAACGAGCGCTTGTACTAAATCCTTTTTATTGCGATTAGCCTTTGTTCAAAATTTACAAGAAACCCTTCATTCGAAAGATGAAAAAACAAGCTTTAAATTGAACCCAAAACGAAACTATGGTAGTTTATTTTACGATAGAAATAAGGATATTTAGGGCGACTCCGTTTTTTTTTATACACCCTGTAAGGTAAGTTAAAAACACCAAAGCTTTACCTACCTCAACTTATTTTTAAGGCGCTCAATTATGTAAATTGTCGGCAAATAATCAATATTTATTTGTGTTTCCTCAACGAAAACCGGGCATAAAAATGCTCGTCGGAAAAACTTGGTATTAGTCATCTTTTACGAATCTGCCATGTGACTGGTACGCTCATCCCGACACAAAACCAGGCCAAATTCATTGAACACCATGTGTGAGCAATGAAACTGCCTAGTCGACTTGTATTTAGTGTTAAATGTGGGTGGTTTCACTCCTGCAATCTGGGTGCTTAATATTGCCACTTTGTTGCTCAAATTATACCAGTTCAATATTAACACATATTTACAAATTTGTAACCCCAATTAATGTTTTTGGCAGCATTCACAATGTCAATTTTTTGAGTAAAAAATAATATTGGAAGACATTTGATAAATGTGTTGGCAAAAATGTTGGCAAGCAATTTGAAAGTGTAGAAGACTTGCTTTTGACATTTATTTCATCAAACAAGACATAGATAAACATAGCATGAAAGAAAATTACTTCCTCTGCAGGTTATCAACTTGAGTCTTGATGTTGAAACAACGCTTGTTGTAACTTTTTGTCCAGAGGCAGAAGTTGTTGCAGAGCCTGCTATAATTGTTCTTTCAATCATGTGAATGGCCATTGATGACTTTTACCTTGACATCATGGGAGAAAATGGAAAAATCTTTGGTCCGGCTTGAATTTTCTTGGGGCTCTGGCAAAAGGCGTGGACCATGTGGTGGATGGATCTGTCGATTTCTTGACGGGTGGTCTGCGAAGACAAATGGAATCGTATGAAAAACGGTTAAGGTCTGACAAAAACCTTCTGAGAGATTTGAAAAAAAATGGAAAAATCCTTTCAAATTGTCAGCGAAAATCAAGGCAATGGTGAAACAATCGACTTCGCCTCTGGAAGCATTTCCAGCTTTGCAGGATACATCACTTTCATGCTGACTGACAACAATATGGCTACACTGGAGATGGGAGATGTCAGTGGAGAACATGAAATGATACAAAAATAATTTAAGGTCAGTCCTGATCTTAGAAACATTGTCCTTGGTGTGGGAGAATCTAGAGATTTTACTAATAAACACAAAACCACGAAGCTTTGGTTTGTCATTCCAATAAACGAGAAAATCTGCTTATGGTTTGTACTTTGAAAATTCAAAGGCTAATGTTTTTTTTTGCTGCTCAGAAACCACCAGCCAATGCGGCAAAAAACAAACGGAATGCAATTTCTCTTCATTAAATCTCAAATTTGCAATGAGCAACTGTCATTACAATTTGTTTGGGCATGGTGGGGCAGACACATTTTATTTTGGACCACAATTATCCAGGGCAACAGGTGGAAAAGGCAGCAACAATTACATTTTCCAATCCGGCAGTGGAAAAGCAATAAATGACAATTTTGCAGAAGATGGTGAGTCTGACATGATATTCATTAATGTCAATTTTAACAGCAAATAAAGATCCGAACGTCACTCATGGTTTCAGCAACCACATAAGAATAAAAAATTGGTTTTCTAGTGGAAATGCAAGTTATCATCATCATCTTTCTTTTCATTCCAGAGAATAAGTGATCTTTCTCCCAATGAAACTTTCTGAATCTTCTGTGAACTGTGTTGCTGTGGCTTTAGACTTGAGGTCAGCAAATTGGCCACAGAACGTTTTGCCTTCCAGATCATTGCTCAGTTCAATGAAACAGGTTTTTGGGTCCAACTACACAGATAACATTTTTGAAAATGATAAAAACAATGTTTTATATGGAGCAGAGGATTACTTTTTTGGAGGGGATGGAGAAGACATGTATGTTGTGCAAACGAGTGAGGGCTGTGACATGATTGACAATTTTGCTGATGACAATTCTACTGATATTGTTGCTTATGAAGGCCTTTCACGAGAAAATTAAAGTTAAAAGAGATGGAGAAGACATCGGTGTTTTTGACGATGATTCTGAAATTTGCTTTAATAAAAAAAATTCTGTGGTAGCAGAGAAAAACCGACACATACTTTTTTCCTCCAATGATCACATTGTGTTCATGTTTGCCGAATATCAAATTGGATTTTCCAAAGTGCCACTGATGTTGGATTTCAATGCAGCAAACAAAAGTGTCTGTGTGGATTTATCACAAAAGAAAAACAATAAACTGCAAAAAAAAATGACCACATTCAAAGCCATAACGACAGTGTCAGATTCACCATATGATGATGTTACCACTGGCAATGGCCAGCCAATTTTTTTCAGCTACAGCGGAGGATTTGATCGTCTCCATGGAGGCAAAGTCAGTGACACCTATGTTGTTAAAAGAACTTGCAAAAGATGCGTCATCAACAATTATGACAGTGATGAAAAGTCTGACTTGCACTTCATAGAGGAAACATTCACAAATTTGAAAGCAACAAAAAGCAAAGAAAATCTAGTAATTCGTTTAGCTCTGAGTCGATCAAATGCAGAAATTGAACGCTGGTTCAATTCGATATAATAACTTTGCTCATAAACGAAAAAATGACAAACTGGAACCAACAGAAGTGACAAAAGATCCAGACAAATGCCAATGTAAAGAAAGGGTTTGTTTTGAAAGTATGTTCACATACGATCTCAACAAGAATCCGTAGGAAAAGTGGTTAGATTCAAACTGAACTCGAGCAGCTGCAGCTACAGAATTTTTGTAAATGGTCTGAAGAACTACCTTCACACAGGGCCCTTCAGTGCCTTCAGTGAACAGCATTTGAATGGGGGAAATCGATTGGACAGATACGTTTTTAATTATGGTTATGCAGAATTTAATGTGATAAACAACTTTGCGCAAGACAAAATTCAAGACACTGCAACTGGAGTTAATTTTTGAAGATATTCAGATTCTCTTTGACAACAAATACAATGTTTATTTAGCATCCATAAAAAAATCCTGGTCACTGATTGTCAAACTAGAGAACTATTCTTTTAGAGAAGATTCTCAACACATTGATGTAAAACAGTCACGTTTTCCATAATTGAAACATTTCCATATTTTAAAGTTCTGTCTGTCGACCTTACTTCCGATCGTTCTTCAACAACATACGTGCCTCTATGCCTCTCTTCTGCTGTAAGCTTGAAAGGGTCAAATTGAAAACAACATTTTAGGTGACTTCTGATTATCTGTGTGAAGGAGCAACTGGATCATCCATTGATGGAAAAGAATGTGATGACAATGTCATTGGTGGTCCCAGCGATGACATCCTGTCCTGTGGTCTGGGAAATGACGTTATTAATGGTGGCAATGGCTCCATTTATGGAGGGAATGGAATGGACGATCTTTGAAGGTGACAGGATCCATCAGCAAGGAGTCAACATCGACCTCAAATTTGAGAAGGCTTCTATCCACAATTATTTGAAGAAAACCTATGGCACAAACAAGTGGGTTGTCATTGTGTATGATGACATTTGGTTGTACAAAAAGCACTTGATGACAGGACATCACATCCACTTGTTCAGGAATAGAGGGAGCAACATCTTTGCGAGCAGTGTTCCCAAGACGAATCCTTGTCCCAATCTATTTTGGGTGGCAGTTACCCTACATTTGAGAGAAACAATGATGCAAGGAGTCTCGGGCTAAAGATTTGGAAATTCATGGTAAAGAACAAAATGCCTGTTCACTCAATAATCATCATCTGAAAAGGCACAACCATTCATCTCAAGGAAAGTTTGCCTCAGAGGCTTTTTTCCTTCATTTCAATAAATTTTTAAAGAAATTGTTTTTATTGCCTCCCTTGCCTTTAACAGAACCATGCAAATTATCATACTCATTCCAGCGTTCCCAAAGTCATGATGAGCTCCGTTTTCTGGGTAAAATATCAAGCAGACAATAAATAGACAAAACTGCAATTGGGAAATAAATGGCTATGCGCGTAGAGTGCATGCCGAATTATTATTTCATAACAAATGTTACAATTTTACTTTTTGAATACATAAATAAGAGTTCGTTAACTGTTCGCACAGAAAAGGTGGGGTAAAACAAACGCCATGAGCATTGCCGGGTAGGCAATGCTCACCCCACCCCAGCATGACGAGAGAACACTGGAAAAACCACCCGAGATACAAACTAAATACACTATGTGCACAAACTCGTAATATACATGGCAAACTCATTAGTGATATAAATATGGAGAGACACAATTGGAAGGTGAACAATGATGAACAAACTAAAGTCATGCCCCTGCATTGACCTGTAAGCTGTACATCAGTTGACAAAGTGGACGAACACATGCGTTGCCCCTGCATCCGCATTGCCTCAACCCACACTAACGTAGTCCTAGGAGTACAGAAAGTTTGCCAGTGCACAAGATATAAACACAAAGCTTGCAGCCATCACAAATCGACCTATGCAAGCCGAAGAAATTCAAGGGGGTGTAGTCAAGCTTGGGGTCCGAATGTATTTTTTAAAAGCGTCTGATTTCCAACGGCCCATTGCCCATATTTGGGCATCTGAAAATCCAGACTCAGCTGCAAAAGTAGCAGCCCCAATACGGAAGCTATGACCCTTTTATTTAGTAGAGTCCAGTCCACAATGGTGTAGGACAGTTGCTAAAATTTCATCGAAAAGTTTTCGTTGTATAGGTAGGCCGTTGATTGTACAAAATAAGGGACCGTCAGAGAGACCACGAAAGGAAATATAGTCAACTAAGTACTGAACTGGGCATATGTCTGACCGACATGATAAGCTAATCTGAACAGACAGGCGATTATAAGAATGTTTAGAATCATTAAACTTTATTTTAAAGCCAACAGTGGAACCACTACTATCCAACATGCTCGTAACTTGCCCGAGCTGAATGAAAGATGCAGATCGAGCACCAGCAGTGATTTCTCCAATGCATAGAAATGGAAAAAAGGCTGTGGTAAACATGGCGCTGAATAAGTAAGCTCCGTACCGGCTAGAGCTAAGTGAATGTGAAGAGTGATTGGTAAACGTGTGTCAATACGTGTTCCGAGTTACCATAACCTTTCAGCATTTCCACGACCCAAAAGACTTTAGTAGAGTCAGAAAAACTGGCCAAACGATGGCAATAACCAGACATAGGTGTATGCGGTCGAAGCGGCATAATGATGTTGAAACATAAAGGCAATAAAAAGGCCTAAGTTGCTAGGTGATATCGGCAAAGAAATATTAGGGATATGAAAAATTGAGGAAGAAAAATGACTGTAAAGTCTCCAGGCCCTTTGATAAGTCGGGATTGATGAGGGCTGCAAGCTTGATTTAACTAGTGTGGTGGTTATATCAACCAATTGCTTGGTAAAAGCGTTTCCAGGATTATTGTTGGGAATGGGTGCGTGCCCACTGGTGCAGCCTGCGTGAACGAGGTGACCTGCAAACGGGACAAAGAATGAGCTAAATGATTTTCTACCCCAGGTATGTGCTTTGCTCGAAACAAAATATTAAATTTCAAGCAGGTCAGCACGAGCCGGCACACAAAACCCATTATCATTGGATCCCGTGAGGTTGTTTTATTAATATCCACCAATGCCACATTATCCGTGAAAACGATGATACGCTGATTTTTCATTAGATCACCCCAAAGAAGGATGCTGAGTGCAATAGGATAAAATTCTAAAATTGTAATGTTAAAACCTTTCCAGTGCTCCGGCCAGGTGCCATAGCACCAATATGGCCCAAATATTGCACCAAAACCCAAACTACCCGCAGCATCTGTGTACAAATTTAAGGTGCAAGAATCGTGCCATTTATCATTGAGAAACATTGAGCGGCCATTAAAATCATCCAGAAAGGATTTCCAGAGACTTAAATCCCCTTTAACCCAGTTTCTCAGCCGAATAAAATGTTTGGCTGATCTAATACGTGAGGTCAATGAGACAACGGAGGAAAGCCCGACCCGGGACAATAACAGAGCAAGCAAAATTTAATAGCCCAATCAAAGATTGTAGCTCTTTCAACTGCACTTTTTTCCCTGTTAGAAATGATGAAACAAGGGAGTGGCATTTTCCAATTTTGTCTTGAGCTAGTCGGGCCTCCATCCGTACTGTGTCAAGTTCAATACCAGCAAAGATAAGGATGCTCTGCGGGCCACTTGTTTTCTCTTGTGCAATAGGCACACCCAAATATGCACACATTTGCACAAGAATTTCTCAAGGTTAGTGCGACATTGGATGAATGTATGCACGGCCATTAGAAAATTTCTAATATATGGATAAGATGCGGAATGTTTAAATGGTGGTGCGCAACCCATTCCAGAGCTGTGCTAAACATTTCAAATGTACGACACAAAGAAGAGCAACCCATTGGCATGGCTTTATCATAATAAAATTTCCCACCCCAAGAGATTCCAAGAAGATCATAATCTGCAGGCCTAATAGGAATGATTCGAAAGGCACTTTTTAGATCTGTTTTGGCCAGGAAACAACCTGGACCTAAATGCCAAATGAGAGCAATGGCATCATCATCGACCCTGGCATAATTCACTGAAGTAAATTCAGAGGGAATATTGTCATTAACAGATGACCCACCTGGGAATGACAGATGATGTATCATTCTAAATTCCCCAGGTGATTTCTTAGGAACCAAACCCACAGGAGAAACCCGGAAATTATCAAATGGGGGAGAGTCAAAAGGCCCTGCCAATTGGTTAGCTTTTAATTCTTTTACAAGTTTAGCCTGAATAATATCTGGGTGTTCATAAGCTGACAACAAATTCTTGGCATTTCTTGGAAACAACAAATTCTTGGAAACCCAAACTTAAAACCATTATATAACGCATGCACTAATTCCGCATCATATCCATGCAGCAAAGGAATAAGACGCTCAATTTCAACTGGTGTTGGGAGCTCGGGACCTGGCGGGGGTGCCTTGAGAACTGGTAGCCTGAAAGGGTCGAAAAATTACAGCGGTTGGCTGGATGTGACATGTTAAATTTGTAACAGGTATGTTTATAGGTGCATCCATGGCATTCCAAACTCCTGTGAAATTTGTGGCAAAACCCCTCAGGAATACCAAATGATGGAGACCGAGCAGGCTTTCCCAGTGAAATTTTTTAACCTGGGGTTACTGAAACTTTGAGCTTTAATCCAAAGCTCCCAATGTGTGGAACCCCATGGCATTTCCATGGGATGCATCTGCCATAAACACCGAAATTGCTTACCATAGTAATGCCAGTCTGCCCCATGAGAAGCCTGGTCACGAACTGCCTCCCCATACTTCATTAAAGAAGGGGCTGCTGTCGGGTATTTAGTGGTATAAATTCCCACAAAAATCTGAAATGCTGTAGTCCAAGCCTCAACATAGGGAATAGGTCAAGATTTGGTAGTGGGTTCTAATGATAAAGTGGGCTGTGATTTTGAAACAGAGCCAGAGCTAACCACTATATGGTAACAGGTTTCCCCAATACCTTGATTAAGCAGGCTACCAAATTCGATAAATTCATTGGCCCAAATCTTAGCCTTGAGCTTTGGGTTAACCTGAGCATCTATGGGAATGCTGATGGAATTGAAATTTAAAATGTTGGAGGCTGGACTAGCAACATCAAATCGACGACTCTCACCCGTAAGGCTATCCAAGGCAGAAGCCCCTGCACAGAGACCTCTGCCCCAGCTTCACCTGATACTACCAAAGGTATCCCCTGAACTGCCTGACCAAGTGGGTTGTTCTGAGCTCCATCCTGCACTGAAAGAAGAGATGCCACCAGTGCCGAGGAAACTGCTGATGCGATATCCTGGATTGACGATGCTGATAGTTGTTGATTACCTGAAGCTGTTGTGGTTGTTGTGGCACCAGTATTCGCTTCATTCGGGCCTGTAACGGCTGTAGAGCTAACCCTGGAACGTGAGCTATGCCTGCTTGGGGCAAATGGTTGGGCTCGTCATTCTACAAGTGTGCTTGGTCTTGTTGCCGGCATCATTTCTAAATAAAAGGAAACTTTTGGCAAGACAACAAGCTAATGTACCAAGGGAAATTGAAAGCAAAGTCGGTTAAAGTGAAACTGACTAAATGTAGCTATACTCTTGTACAACCCACTGAATTGTGGAGATTAAAACATAAGTAACATCTAAAATGACAATGAATAACAGCAGAATACCATGGCTTACCATACTGGTAGCCGGTTTAATATCCCTTAAGCTGCGGACAGAACGGGCAACCAAAAAAAAACACAGGCTGTGCAAACCCCCATATATTGAATTGCAGTGGTATCAGATTAACTCAGGGAAGCAGCTGAATAAATTCACAAACAATACAAGCACTAAACATAATGACTGCACATACATACTGCACAATACTGTATACAAATGAACAACTACATCAGCTACGTAGT